GCCCGCGGCCCGCAGGGTGGCGCCCGTTAGCGACTTAGGCCGCGGCCTGCGTTCCGCCGCGGCCGGCCCCGTGGCAGCCGCTCACCGAGCACTTCCCCGGGGACATACCGCGTACTGTCGTGCCCCTCGACAGGAGCGCTCCGGGGCCCGAGGGGAGCCTGGCTGGGCCGGCTGCTCCAGCGGACCGGCGGTTTGTTCTTGAGGCAGTCCAGGGGCTGGCTGGCCGCCGAGCAGGCAGACCGCCGTGGTGCAAACGAACAGTTGCCTTGCTCGTCATTCCTAAGCGTCTTCCCAGCATCCCGAACTGGAGACGAGGTCTTGTCCCCCCTCCTCTCCTAGCACCTTTCTGGAATGCTTTTTTCTCTGCTCTCTTGTTCCTTCTCCCATAGGCACAACTTGCCACCGAGCCCTGCAGGCCCTGCTTTTGTAGCCGTTGCCAGAGAGAGACCTCACACGGAACAGCTTTGCCAGATCTGAGCTCCACTGCGTGGCTGCTTGCCTTGAGCAGTAACTCCTACTGCCCCAGATGATACCTCAGTGCGGGTGTTCCACTGCACCTTCGATCCTGACAAGGTGGTTGCACAAGCTCCCATTTGAAGTCCATGAGGGGTGGCAGTCACTGAGGTTCTCTGTGTAACAACAGGCTCTAGGAAGGATTCATAGATGGTATCAGGTTGCAAATTGGTTTGTGACCTCTAGTTTGCCATATGGAATAGTGCTTAGGGTTGTGAAGACCATACAGAGAAACTTCTAGAATAGTCAAACTGTATTATACACATTTCAGAAGGGCTCCTTGATCAGCTGCTTCTGGTTTTCCACCATCATTTTCATCTAGCGGTGAGTTGGATGAAGTGCCCTGAGAAGACACCAAAGACCAGGATCTGAAAGACACTGTTTCAGCTGACCTGACCATCTCTCTTCATCTCAACAGCAATGTTATCTAGGGTGACTGGGCTTGTGTATTTTTAGAAGGCTGCACCCTTTCTGGAAGCTGATTTGATGAAAAATTTGCCTTGATCTGTATTTGTCTGATGTAATTAATGTATTTAGCCACAAAAAAGTTGGAATTTATACAACTTGACTTTTATTTCAAACCAGTGCTCATTACTTCTTCTTACATTTTTTCATGTAAAGCTCAAGAATTAATGAACACCAGCCAATATCTTTCCCACTTAAATCCCTTCCTCACCGCCCTCAGCTATCTTTTCTTTTCTCCCCTGTCTCTCCCCCAGGTCACACTCTAGTGTGTCTTGAAGCTAGAGCAGAGCCTGGCTATGACACATTAGGGTGCCCAGGGAAGGCAAGAGCTGTATGCTGAATTCAAGCACTGCCACTTGAAGTTACAGTCATGGGGTGTGCAGACAGGATATGGGTCCTGACATGCCAAGAAAACCTAAAGGCAGGAAGTAAGAGATGGTGAATCTTTGCCTCCTAAAGTGAATATCCACCACTGACATTGTCAGAGCTCTGCTGAGGAGTGATGGATGTACCACCTGTCAAGGGCCTCTCCCTGCTTACCGCCTTCCTTCTCTGCTGCTTCAGTAGTCAAATAAGCCTTATTCCTTTTCATAAACAATTGGTC